TCTGCTGTGGCTGCCGCCTGTCTGACGAGCCACAAATTATTTGCGTTTTCATGATAAACAGAATTAAACATCTGTTACGAACGTTTACTCACTGGAAATGATACTGAGTTACAGAGTTCGTGTGACAGAGCCCCTCATGAATACCACACACAAACCCACAGGTCTTCCTCAAACCCTGGCCCCCATTTGCTGCTCAGATTTATTTTACACCCACACGCACCTCACGGGTTTTTGTTTGTTCCCACTCCTCCACTTCTCCCTGCCAAGACCCCACCACTTCAGCTGCCCAGCCTCGCGTGGCATAGACCCAAGCCTCCAGCCCGCACACCGCCCCGCTGCGAGCTGCAGACCGGTGCGTGCGGAGCATGGGGCTCTGGGGACCGGCAGCGTATGCGTGTGCAGGGGGAACACCTCCTCCCACGGCGCGCAGGTGATGCAGAGTCTGGAGAGGTCTGCGTGCCCACACCGGCGTCTGGGGTCTTGAATATCTCCAGAGAAGGAGACTCCACAGCCCCTCTGGGCAGCCTGTTCCAGGGCTCCGTCACCCTCAGAGGGAAGAAGTTCTTCCTCATGTTCAGACGGAACTTCCTCTGCTTCAGTTTGTGCCCTTTGCCCCTTGTCCCAGAGAGCAGCCAGAGCTTCTGACTCCCCTGCCAACCTTCCACCCCCTGGTACTGGCTGCCACAGTGAGGAGGCACGAGAACTCTGCTGGTGTGAGGGAGCCACGTTGACTTCAGACATCTGGGCAGGGAATTGGAGGGAAGAGGGGGCTGCGCAGGGAAAGGAGCACCAGCGGAGCTGTTACTGAGGACAGCCTTCTACCCTGGCCCTCGGGGCAAGGAGGGGATCGCTCGTGGTCCCACCATGCTCCCACCCAGGCTCAGCCAGAGTCTGGATTGGGCAGCGCTGGGCGCAACAACACAGCATTGGTTTCTCTCCTACCAAATTAATGAACTGCTGTTAACAAAGGGAGATGAAACAGAACAAAGAAATCGCCCAGCTGTGCTTACCAAACCACGGCCCTGCTACCAATACCACATAACTGCTCAATTTATATTGGACTTAAGCTACCTAAAAGTTAGTTCCAGGGGTTAGACACACAGCCAGATCGTTCCTTTAACTTCACACATAACAGACCTCGAGTCTACATGCACAAATACCTAAAAAATTAGAGTTATACAGCTAAGCAAGCAGGCCAGTCCCTGCTGTGTTACCAAAAGAAGAGCTGCTTCTGAGAAGCCAGGTATAAACACAATAGCCAACTTTTACTTTCATGATAAACACTGGGCCACATTCTTCCCTCTGCACAGAACCTCGTCACAAAAAAGAAAGCAAGTTACATTAATCAAATTGTTTGAAATTTTAATTGAGATCCATGTTTGTTTTGCAACAGTTTCTCAACGGCTACGATGAAACACAAGAATCATTTTGAATGACACTACAAGAAAGCACAAATCCCAGGAAATAATTCTGCATTTGCAGAAGTCTGAATAGAAAAGCCTGATTTTAGCTAAGATCTACAGGATCACGAAGAGCATTAGGGAACGTCCTTGCAAAAATTCCTCCTGTCAGTTAAGGCTTAAAAGAAAGTTTCTCGGAAGTGTGGAGCACGTCTAATCTCAAGGCAACAATTGAGAATTAGAAGTCCTTAGCATCCTTGAACATAGAGCTAGACAATTATTTTCTAAACAAATCTAACTTTACAGTAAATTTCTATTAACCTTATTGAGATTGATTCTTACCACTGGGAGCTGGCACTGTAACTGCCAGTCACTCAGTTGCTCCCAATTTATTGGATGAAACAAATAATGCAACATTTCATGGTTGGTATTGTTTTATTGTCTAATATTGATTAAATTATTTACACTCCTATCTTTCAATCCACAGTTTAGCACTCATACCTATGGCTTTTACTTTTATGTTTAGCACATCTTTGTGTCAAGTGTCAGAATTTTGTTTCAAAAAAACAGGAACTTGATACCATATAGACAAATCTCCTCTGTATTTATGTTTAAACATATTCATTTTCAAAAATGATAACTTATAAAGGAAGAATCTGCTGGTAGCTTTCTTCCAGCTCATGTTTACCACAGATTCTACTGAGCTTTCCCTATTTTAAAGTCTCCCTTTTAGAGTGTCCTGCTGCCTCCACAAGGAATCTTTCTCCTCCCTCAGCCCCCTGCATCTAAATTTAATGCAAAAAAACAGTAGCTAACAATTTTAAGCAAAAACATAAAGCACTGTAACATTACCTACACTGTCTTTTACTGAACCAGGTTCTTGAACACTCTAGGAACTTTGTGGAAATCTAACCAGTCATTGTTGAAAAGGCACAGGATTTTTGCGCTCAGAGACCTACAGCAACACTGTTTTTTTCTCCAGCCTGAATGTTAGGGACTGCTGTTAGGATACAGCAAACAGTCTGATCCAAAAAGTCACAGGTACCCAATTGCCACTTGCAATAGAACCCATCAGATTTTACCGATTCCTCCGCCACAGACACCCTGCAAATCTATAACAGGAGTTTTCTTCTATTGCAAGAGGAAAAGAGGTGAAGTTATTCTTACACATACCCGGGGACGGCGTAACAATGATACAAGCTGTTCATTATTAAAATCCTCACAAAGCTGTCCGTGTCTGTGGTAGTTTCTGCTCCATGGTATTACATGAATGGGAAAGTTATTTTTCACATATGAGAGAAGTTTAGTTGTACGTGAAGAAAGCTAATTTTGGTCCACTTGTCCAGCTTCCTAAGGACAGCATATTGGAAAGCTGACCACTGACAGTTCAAAAACCAATGTAAAAGTTAAGAAAAATAATTTGGTATTTCATTCTTAAACCTGCATAGTGTCGTTATTTGTCCTAGTCATCCGCCTTTTCATTCTGCATGTCCACTAATTGTTGAGTTTTTAAGTCTTCAGCTTGTTCATGATCTTCCTTATCTGCATCATCTACTTGATTAGGTTCCTTTTCTTCTGCTTCTCCTTGATCAACACTTTCATATTCTACCTGTTCGAGTTCTGTCCCATCTATAAGTTCTGCCTGTACTTCTTCCATCTGTATTTGATTTACATGCTCGACATGTAACTGCTCCACATGAACTTCAGCACCTTGTTCAGTCTGAATGTGTTCAACTTCCAAGTAACTAATTTGCACCTGTTCTTGCAGTTCATCTAGCTGCGTGCCCTTCACTTGATTGTCCTGTATGAGATCCTGGTGCATCTGTTCCACAGTTACCTGTGCGGGATCCACTTGTACTTGAATTACTGGTAGGACATGGACTTGCTCCACTTGTTCTATAATAGTCATGGATGTTACCGGTTCAGCTTCCACTGGAAGAACCTCTTCTGTCACCATTCGTTCTGAAATGTTGTGCATTTCTTTGAGATGCCTTCTCAGCTCACTGCCTTGCATGAACCACAAATCACATAAGGTACAGTGGTTGGGTTTGTCACCCGTGTGTATTACCAAGTGATCTTTGAATTGATCCCAGCTGTTGAACACGCTGTTACAAACCTGAAACAAAAGATACAGTATGTCATATTTCTGTTGGCACTGTTTAACAAAATGTAGTGCCTATTTCAGATCATGGCTTCACATAGTGTGGAAGCTACTTGGATTAAAAAAACATGTATGTTAGACGTAAAAGCTGAGAAGTCAGCTTCAGATGACCAGAAGACCTGGTATTTAGTTATTTCTTTTTAAGAAACAGTGAGCTACTTTGAGTTGTGCATAGACCTGATAGCTACAAAATTTGTGAGTCAGTACAGCATTTGAAAGTTTTCTTATTTTAACCTTACATGAAATCCACATACAGCATCATGCCCCAATAAGCCTGGTGATAGAGTTTTGGGTGGAAAGCTATTTATGTATTAATACTGTACAATGAAAGTATAATACAAACTGTTCTTTTACTGAAGTTCTAGATGTGGTACTACTAGCCAGCTTTTCCTGATCAGCTTTCATTTGCTCACAGCACTGTGAGGTTTAACTGGCTAGACTGAACTCTCCCATTTTGCCATTTCAGAAAAAACACTTGAGCAATTTCAGCAGCTAAAACTCTCTAAAAACTCCATTCCTTTAATTCTCTTCCAGCTAGAAGTACTGCCTCGACTGCAGACACACTATTTTCACAAAGCACATGAGCACACTTCCTTCCCTTCAGCTGGCACTGACGTGAGTAGCCTGAAAACAACACGCAATAGACTACAGAAATGAATGAGGTGTCAGGGTAGAAGAGAGAGAAGAGCAGGGTGGAGCCAGGCTGGGCATAAAGAAACAGGCTCTGGAGTCCTTGTCCATCCATACAAGTGTTCTTGGCCGCAGAAAGCAGCAAAGAACACACATTTCAACGCCCCTTCACTGCTAGCAAACAGTTTTGAAACAGAATGTGATGTCTCCTCATAATTTGCATCAATAGCACAGAAGGACGATGAAGTATCTGACAGGGATTAAGTCAAGAACAGGTCTGTGTAGTGGAGCTAAATACCTCCAATTTGCCGTTGAAGTCTGTTAAAACAGGTTTGTGATGGTAGCGCCATGCTTTTTTTCCCCCCAGTCTCATGCTTTAGGAAGAAGTTGCACATACAGTTCTTAAAGTACTAACCTTATAGACAGGCACTCGAAATTACTTAGTCATACATAAAGGTAATTACTATCGGTAATGCTCAAGCACGTAATTACTGCTCCTGCCAGGCAGAGCCTAATTCAATACTCAAGACACACACTGAAGACCACCAAAAGTGCTCATCAGGGAAGCACAATTTTGTTCTCTCCTCTTTCTTCAGTAAGCCAAGATTTATTTATTGAACACTATTCAAATTTAGTTCTAAGGAAAGAAAAATTCAAGAAAAATTTATCCAAGAATGGCTGTAGTTTCTGAGGGTGGAAGAAACGCTAATCCACGTTCACAACATCTGTGAGAGGATGTGGTATCAATTTAGCAAGAGAAAGTTATAACAAAGTGATTAGAGCGAAGGGTCACAAAGACCAAACAGTATGCTAAGATCACTCTCTTTTGGAACAAATAAAGCTGATATCCAGAGTTTTGTTAACTACACAACCCAATTTAACCGCAAACCACAGCCATTCTGTGAACTGAATAAAGTGAGAGCCTTAAGGGAAAAGAAAAGAGAGAGACAGAGAGAGAGAAAGAGAGAGAAAGAGAGAGAAATGTGTTTGTAGTGTTTGTATTTGAGACTGTCCCAGCAGAGGGGCAGGAAAATGGCAAATTAAAATGCTGCAATAAACCTCAGGTCTTGTATTCTGTAGCTTTTCAGAATCAGATTTTAAAAGCTAAGCAAGATTCATCTGACCAGACTTTCAGTTACATGTAGGACCAAGTACCCTAGCTATCCATCTACAGAATTTATATTTGCTTAAAAGACACTACAGATTGCCATCATAGCTTGGAATGACTTTCTAGACAAAGTCAATATATTGGGTATCAAACAGGAGAAAAATAAAATACAAAACAAAATAGTACTTTGTATTTTGGACTTTCGTGAAGCATGCTCACAAGTAGGAAAGGCCTAGGTCAGTGCACCAAGAACCTTCAAAAGGCAGCAGAAAGATCAGTGAGATGCAGATGAACACTTACCCACCCATAATGATCTGATTATAAGCATTATGAGGCTCTGTATCAGTAATTCCACATTTTAAATGGAACTACTTAGACATAAGAATTTATCTGCATGTTGTGGTTGAATGTGATCCTTGTATTTGTTTTACTAAAAGTAGCTGTTGCAGACATAATATCACTCTTGTTGCCTTCCCTGCTCAGTACTCCCACACTCCCTCAGCACAGCAAGGAGGTACCTAGCCTCTGACGCTACTACTACCATTACCCACCTGACATTCGTACAGCTTCTTTCTTCCCTTTTTAGCTCCAGCGCCAGACTGACAGGCCGTCAGGTGACATTTGAGCGTGCTATTCCTAGCAAAACGTTCATGGCAGTTTGGACATTCAAATGGTTTTTCACCTGTTAAGACAGATACACGGATTTGTAAGTGTAAAAAAACAGCCAGTATTCTGTCAGCTCTCTCTTCTTCCTCTCTCTTCCTTTTGTGAAGGTTGATAAATATGCAGTAAAGACGTGGCCAATTGGATTATTCTACAGCAGAAGAGAAAGAGTCATGACTCTCGTTTAGAAAAAAAACCAGTGCAACAATTACCAGTGCCATTTAAGGTACATTTAGGTTTTTACGGAAATTAGATTACTATTGTGACAAAATATCTTAAAGAAACAGCAGTTATTTCTGTCTCCATCTGATAATATTTGCAATTAAATAATTAACATCAGTAAACATAAAGAGTGACACATATAAGAAGGAACTATTTAAATAATACAAAGTTTTATTTTCAAAAACAGTAACAGCTTATGCTTGATAACTGAAACTGAGCTCCAGAAAAAGAAGTTGGCACGGAATGACCACAAAATAGCAACCAACCAACCAACACCACCTCTCCCCAAGAAACATAGTGCAAACACAGAGGGACACAAAATGCCCCTGCACAAGCAACATAAAAATTTCTTTCAGTTTGGCCACTTAATTTCAAGCCTGGTACTAAGCACAGAAGCCAGCTAAGGATAACAGCAGGGGAGGATGAAAACAGGTTGTTTTCTCTCTTTCATCTAAAGTAGTATATTGTTATTATTCTCATTAAGTAGTAACAAAGAACAACTGGTGTCTCTGTTTACCAATTTCATCATGCACAAGCACAATGAAATTCAAGGAAACTGAAGTACAAAATATTAGGAACAGTGTGTTTCTTCTGACAGGCTGATAATTAATCTGCAGAGGTACTGACACCAACATCTCTGCTGAAACAAACGGCTTAATGAACTCCAAAAGAGGCCGAGACATTTCAGCGGACAACGTAAGCATCTGTTCTGCCTCATTTAAAGCCTGAATTTTCAGGAATGCAGTAATTATCAACTACTGAAATGGAAAGCAAATAAACCTGTATTTTCAGAAATAAAGCTATTCATAAGTTCCTAATCAACTTTTCAAAAGAAATTCACAAGTAGCCTGTAATTCTCACTTATATGCCTAAATGCTACAGAAAAATGTTAAATGGTGGGAACATTCCCGCTATGCTATGTTTTTGGAGGCAGAATAAACCTCCCACAGTCCAGGAGGAAGCACTTAATGACCTGATACACCCACCACCTGGACACTCACAAGTCTGTGGAGCTGGAAGGGATCCACCCAAGAGTGCTGAGGGAACTGGTGGAGGAGCTGGCCAAG